CAGAAGCAAGGGTGGGATCCTGAGGACAGGAGCATATGAACCTACAAATGGTGCTGACAGAGACTACTACACTTGACACAGTGGAGTTACTGCTCTGCAGGTGAATCTCTCTCTTGGTCAGCAACACCAAAGTCAGCTGGGTTATTTTGGCTAGCAAGTTCCTAGCTGTGGCTGTCTCAGTGCACATCAGCAACATGCTGGCAATGGCAGATCCAGACATCCAGTATGGGTTTTCCAGTGCAATACTGCAACTGTCCTTCATAGTCCACTGACTTGTAGAGGACAGCATGTATCTAACAGGTGGTGTTCAGCCCTGACTTTTTCTGTCGTTACTTATCAGTGCAACAGCCCAAAAACTGTGCTAATGCTCAGAGTCATTTGGGGCACTTTCTTTGAATACATGTTTGTTAAAGGAAGAAGAAGTGGATAGACCATAAACACACTTGTAACCCACCACCCAGACACTGCCCTGCAAAGACTATGTTATTTATTAGGTCAAGAAGGTGGTTTCACAATATTTGTATATATTCACAAACTCATAGATTCTGTCAGCACTTACAGAGGTGGTGTTTTAGAAACCATAGTCCTTCATTGCCCAGTGACTAGCCGTATTGTCGCCCATTCTTGCCATGCTCATTCAAACACATTAATAACAAGCTCCATGCTGTTCCCATCACACAGGACATGCAGGGTTTCTGAGACCGATGTCACAAGAAACGCACCTGGCTGAAAAAGAAAGGGAAAGAAATGAAGCAGAACAGCAGAACTTTTTTATGGCAGGTATGTTTGCAGAAGAAAAACTTAAATGCATTTCCAAGTGCTAGCATATTCCCCAAAAGTAGGTTGTAGGAATAAATATATCTATGATACCTCACACTGCTGAGTGGCAGATTTTAAGAAGCTTATGTTTACATTACTCAGCTATACTGCTTCAGCTAGCTGAAAATATTAGCAGCAGTGAGAAGTCAAGATGAAGTTCCTGTCAAAGCACCACTCAGCACTTCTCAGCCTGGTATATTCTTCAATAACTCTTTGCAGTCAGTGCACACACAGCTGATCCCACCAGTCTAGCCTTACCAAGAGCCAAAAAGGAGAAGACTTCTCTAATTGGCAATTTTAATTATGGTCATTTTGATCCAATACCACTTACAAAACAGATGTTTTCTACCCTCCTTTCTCCAGAAAAGCTTTCTATGCTATAGATTCTCTGTCATGCATGACAAGCAATGCAATATATTTGTTAAAATATCCCTGTAAACCATGAGGAGGATAGGACAAACTGCTAGTTTCACCAGTGCAATACTGAACATCTGCTCCATCTGTTCCAGGAAATGGTGACAGGCATCTTGCCACAATATATCATGCTAATTTTTCCAAGATATTTTTATATTAGGTCATTTAAACGATAGTGAGGCATTTTATCACTACAAGCAAGAACAGATTGAACCTCCATAACCATTTCTAAACTGCTTTAGTAGCCTGAATCACTTCCTGTTTCTGCAACTTTAGTGCTACCATGGCAGTGACACCCTGTGACAGTCACACCCTTTGCCAAAACTGGACCGTCCTTGTGGGCCTGCATATGGCATGGCATGCAGGAACACAGCCCATAATGCAGTGGAGGAAAGGAAGGATTTAAGAGTTTCTCCTTTGCACATAGTAAACCCTACCAACTTCAAAAGAGCTGTGCAACTGGATGAATGTAGCACACTCGCATGTATTAAGAGCATCACTTAATTTCATCAATTTGAACACAAAAAAACAGCATTCAGTTCAAGTATTTCATCACTTGCTAAAGAAAGAAGGCTGCCCATGTTTTCCATTTGGATGCTGAAGAGTGATACATATTTGGATTTCATCTTGGATTGCACTTACAAAATTTTAATTTTTTTTAATCACCTGCAGAAATCTTGATAGTACAGCAGCAGCCAGAAAGTCTTTCTTGTTGCTCTTTCAAACTCTGTTCCATATATTTAAACACATATAAACCTCAAATTAGTGCTACTTAACTAACATTAGATTCTGCAGATAAAACCCATTTTTGTCCTTCAGCATTTTCTCCACTCTCAAGAGGCCTTATTCTTTTCTATTTCTATAGCATTGATTTTACTGGTTTCCTTTTATAGGTTTTTGGGAATACCTTTTGACTGAGGGATGTTAACATCATGCAAAGCACATACCTCTCAGCTGCTCATTTTTTTTCAGGTTTACTATATGACTACTTTTCAAATCACTGCCATTCCTTATGACTCAAAACACCAGCAAAAATTGAAGAACAGGAACAACCAAAATAACTTTCTATGTGAATTCATGCAGGCCACAAATGTCACTTTCCTGACAAGCACTGACATTGAGGAAAGCTTGGTAATAAATTCAGTACTCCCAGAGTTGGATCATATAAGACATTGTCCTGGGTTCAGCAGTAGCAGTCGTTTTTCTCCTTCTTGGTAGCTGGTGCAGTGCTGTGTTTTGACTTTCGGCCTGGGAACAGCACTGATAACACCGATGTTTTTAGTTACTGCTCAAATGTTTTAGTCTGACCAAGGACTTTGTGAGCCTCATGCTCTGCCAAGGAGGAGGGGAAGCTGGGAGGAAGCAGAGACAGGACACCTGACCCAAGCTAGCCAAAGAGGTATTCCATACCACAGCACATCATGCCCAGGATGCAACTGAGAGTTACCCAGAAGGGCTAGTGCACTGTGGGGTTGAACAAGGTATGGGTCAGTGCTCGGTCGGGTGGGGTGGGGTGAGTTATCGGTCGGCGGGTGGTGAGGTGATGTATTCTCTTCCCTTGTTATTTCCTTTATCATTATTATCATTGGTGGTAGCAGTAGTGATCTGTGTTATACCTTAGTTACTAAACTGTTCTTATCTCAACCCGTGGGAGTCGCATTCTTTTGATTCTCCTCCCCATCCCTCCAGAAGCAAGGGGAGGGCAAAAAGGGGGGGGGGGGAGAGCAACTGCGTGATTTATGGCTGACTTTGTTTAAACCATGATAGTGCTTTTTGGCACCCAATGTGGGGCACGAAAGGTTGAGATGACAACAGATCTGACCGGATTAATAGTCATTTGTCACAGTGCTGATTTATTGGCTCTCAAAGTTGTTTCTCTTGATGTCACAGTTTCAGAATGTTGTACCTTACTTAGACCCGGTATTTGCTGTGTTAGTGTTTATTAAGTGTGGGGCTTGGGCTAAGGTCCTTGTCTTATTGAACTTTATGGTAATTATTTGTAATACGGGCGGGCTCCACCAGCAGAGTGGGACAGACGTGGACTTGCACCTGGCCATCCCACTGCCCTTCACCATCCTGGCCCTCGTCCTCGCCTCCATCTTCGTGAGACTGGGGGAGCCAAGGGGGAACAGCCCCGGGAGCCATCGGCAGCCGAAACAGCCTGGGAGAGTGGCCCTGGGGACCAAGCAGCAGCAGCAGCGGGGCCAGAGGCCGGCAGGGAGCCGGTGGAGGAGATCAGATGAGATCAGGCGTTTTCAGGGTGATGGGGCCGTAGGCTTGAAAATCTATCAATACATTTTAGCAATCTTAAATGTAAGTGAGGCATGCCTGAATCTGAAATCAGGGGGAGTACAAAGACTTGGAAGTGTTTTTTTCCACCAGAGCCAGAGTGCTTGACACAAGTGGGATTTGTTCACCCTCCCTTTAATGAGATGCCCTTGATAGAGGAAGTAAGTCAAACAGCAGCACTGCAAAGAAGATCAAATTTTATCCTGCTTTTAGCATATTAGGAGGTATAATCAGAGACTGGTCACCATCGACTCACTGTGAAAAAACAAGACAAGGGGATCTCACGTGCCATCAAGTCCATTTCTGCTGTAGGCAGACATCTAGTACAACTTCTTATAGTTTCACACACATTGATCAAGCCTGGTATCTGTGTGAGTGTGTTGCTTCTGTAGCATCAGAGGGCTGTTGCAGAGCCTTACCATTCTGATCCTCAATAATCTTCAATCCCTTCAGGTGGGTAAGTTTATTACTGTGACAATAACAGTATGAATGCCATTTTACAAGCACGATCCCTAACTTGTGGAACCTAGACTGGAACTTAAAGACAAGTATGACAAGAGATGAGAAAGGAAAGAAGCTCCCTCTGGAGAGGAGTCGGAGCTTTGAGAAAAAAGAACACTAAAATCACAGGCTAAGAAGTGTGAGCATGCCTGCAAGGTCTAATTTCTCCCACTTCCATGAATTTAATTTTGTTAAATACCTTTTTAAAGGGTGGATTCTGTTGTAGGAAAACAGAAAACTAGTAGGATTTGTTTAAGATACAACGGATAATGACAGGTGCCTTACTAAACCCTTTCTTCTTTTACAGAACCTGTATTCTTTGGAAACAGCCCCCAGCATGTTCTTTTGGCTCTGCAACATGCCTGTTCTGTATCGTTTTTAAAAGAGAGAAATGGTACTGTCCATTCTGGCATGGGGACCGTGCCAGCCTGAAAGTACGTTTATCACAGCCCACCTGCAGAGACAGGGTGCAATGCAGATGTTCCTCTGTTAAGCACCTGACACGGTTAGCCTGGAACCACCAGTTTTCCCAGATGGCGGCATCCACAGTGCTCCAAGCACGAAAGGTCAAGGGTATCTCCAGCCCTTTGGTGTCTGAATTTTCAAGGATCCCTGTTGCAATTTAACTGATACACTTGGTAGATACTTGGTACACAGCGCCCTCCCTGACACAGGTAACAGAGATATCAGATGGCAAACCTCACATAGAGGCAGCAGTTCCCTTCGGCAGCCGCCGGCACTGCGCGACACGCACGCTCGCTCTCCTTTTTCTTCTCTCTTTTTCCCTACACACGTATGTAATTGCCCTTTTCCTCCACTAGAACGTAGCCCCGCCGGGGCCCCGGCCTCCAGGCAGCGCTCGGCCCCACCGAGAGGCAGAGCCCAGGGCGGGGAGCTGTGGGGGGTGGGGGGAAGGCGTCGGCCTCGGGTTTCCCCCCCTCCCTCCGTGAGACCGGGAGCGTGTGCGAGCGGGCCGGCCAAGCTCCTCCCCGCCGCGGGGACGTGCACTCGCTCGGCGGACCATGGAGGCGGCGTGGCGGCGGCTGCGGGCGGGTGGCGGAGCCAGCGCCCGGCGCTCCGCGGTGTGGCTGCTCCTGCTGGCGGTGGCAGCGGCGGGAGGAGGCGAGGCGGCGGAGTCGGCGCGGCAGCGCGGGGACGAGCAGTGTCATTATTACGCGGGCGGGCAGGTCTACCCCGGGGAGGCGGCTCGTGTGCCCGTCACCGACCATTCGCTGCACCTCAGCCAGGCCAAGAGTAGGTGCCGGGCGGGGCTGGGGCTGCCGGGCGGCGGGAGCCGAAGGGGGGCCCTCTGTAGCTCTGAGGGGCCGGGGCTGGCGGGAGGTGTCCGCAGTGCGCCGTGGGCTGAGGAAGAGGGGCAGCGCCACGTCAGGAGGGGTGGCGGCCATTTCACACACACACCGTCCTGTCCCCTCCTTCCTCCGGGGGTCCCTCGGGGTGCCCCGGTGGCGAGGCTGTTCCCCGGCGGCCTGGCGGCGCTGCGCGAGAGCAGACTCTGGCCCTGCAAGGCCTCCCTGCCTGGGGGCCATAACGTTTTGGTTGCGGGTGGCCCCCGCGGCGCTCAGATCTCTTCTTCTCCTTTCCCTTCCCTTTCTTTCCCTTCCCCACGTCGGCTCCTGGCCGTAGCAGTGAGCGTGCTGCCCCCCAGGAGGCCTCGGAGGGGAGGGACGGTTCACCCCCCCTCCCAGTCCCATGTTTTTATCGTGGTGCACTGTCAGCGAGTTTACTGTTTCACGGACATTTAGCACGGTGTGGGATTCCACAAACAGCGACTGAGCTAAGGGAAACGCTTTAAGCAATATACAGGAGTGGTTTGTGCTCGCACTGTGATTAGAAATACCGAACAGTCACCTCTCGTAACGCTTGCGGGTTATTACTGGGCTTGGTTTGTCGCTTGCCTTTGTGCCTAACCTCTCTTGTTGTTTGAATACTTTATGGCAGAGCTAGGTGCAAACATCTTTAATGGAGGCACAGCGAGATGCTCAGAGGCGTTATCTGAGTTCCGGTGGTCAGATGCTCTCAAAAAGTCCCATTCTGCAGAACACAGAGTAGAGAGAAGTCACATTGAAACAATCCTTGCTGTAGGAATTTACTGGTTCTGCTGAGCCATGGTCTAACTTTCATTTTAAATGTTTGCAAACAGATACTATGAAAGAAATAGAAACACAGCCAAGATATTTGTAACCAATACTGTTTGTATTCTCCACCCTCTGTAATTGTCTGAGATGCTGTAATAGCATCTCAGACAAGTATCACAGTATCACAGTATGCTGGAGATTGGAAGGGACCTCATCTAGTCCAATCCCCCTGCCAGAGCAGGAACACCTAGATAACGTTACACAGGAATGTGTCCAGGCGGGCTTTGAATGTCTCCAGGGAAGGAGACTCCACAACCTCCCTGGGCAGCCTGTTCCAGTGTTCCGTCACCCTCACTGAGAAGAAGTTCCTTCTCAAGTTTAAGTGGAACCTCTTGTGTTCCAGTTTGCACCCATTACCCCTTGTCCTATCATTGTTTGCCACTGAGTAGAGCCTGGCTCCATCCTCGTGACACTCCCCCTTTATATATTTATAGACACTTATAAGGTCACCCCTCAGTCTCCTCTTCTCTAAACTATAAAGACCCAGCTCCCTCAGTCTTTCCTCATAAGGGAGATGCTCCACTCCCTTAATCATCTTGGTTGCCCTGCGCTGGACTCTCTCCAGCAGCTCCCTGTCCTTCTTGAACTGAGGGGCCCAGAACTGGACACAATATTCCAGATGGGGTCTCACCAGGGCAGAGTAGAGGGGAAGGAGGACCTCTCTCGACCTACTAACCACCGCCCTTCTAATACACCCCAGGATGCCATTGGCCTTCTTAGCCACAAGGGCACAGTGTTGGCTCATGGAGTCCACTAGGACCCCCAGGTCCCTCTCCCCTACACTGCTCTCTAGCAGGTCGTTCCCCAACCTATACTGGAACCTGGGGTTGTTCCTGCCCAGATGCAGGACTCTACACTTTCCCTTGTTATATTTCATCCCGTTATTCCCTGCCCAACTCTCCAGCCTGTCCAGGTCTCGCTGGATGGCAGCACAGCCTTCTGGCGTGTCAGCCACTCCTCCCAGCTTAGTGTCATCAGCAAACTTGCTGATAGTACACTCAATTCCCTCATCTAAATCATTGATGAATATATTAAATAATACCGGTCCCAGTACTGACCCTTGAGGCACTCCACTAGTTACAGGCCTCCAACTAGACTTTACAACTCTCTGGCTTCTCTCCTTCAGCCAGTTCGCAGTCCACCTCACTACCTGGTCATCCAGTCCACACTTCCTCAATTTAGCCGTGAGGATGCTGTGGGAGACTGTGTCAAAGGCTTTGCTGAAGTCAAGGTAGACCACATCCACCGCTCTGCCATCATCCATCCACCGTGTTATTTCCTCATAAAAGGCTAAGAGATTGTCAAGCATGATTTCCCCCTGGTGAAGCCATGTTGACTGCCCCTCATAACCCTCTTATCCTTGATATGCTTTAAGATGGCACCAAGGACAAGGTGTTCCATCACTTTCCCAGGGATGGAGGTGAGGCTGACCGGTCTATAGTTACCCGGGTCCTCCTTCTTGCCCTTTTTGAAGACCGGAGTGACATTTGCCTTCCTCCAGTCCTCAGGCACCTCTCCCGTTTCCCAGGACTTGGTAAAGATGATGGCGAGTGGTCTAGCAATGACTTCCGTGTTTTTAACAGTGTTTTTAACCTCCTCAAAATCCCCTTAACTGAGAAAGGGGTCAAGACACAAGGTATTTTATTTAGTTTCTTTTCCTTCTCCCTCCTAATCTGAAGGTCAGTTGAAGAGAACATTTTGTTACAAAGAGATTAGATTTGGGGTGTCACAATTTCGTAAGGAGCAATGTATTTGAAACATTTTTTTAAAGCTTGAAATAACTTGGAGATCAATCATTGCTTTCACTAGAAAATAGTCCCATATGTGCAAAGGCTCAATAAAATACTAGAAGTCCAGGGCCTGATATCTGATCAGAAATAATTCTGCAGAAGGCATAAGAGATTAAGATACTTTCTTCAAAAATGTGAACTGAATTTGTCAGTCGTAACTGCTGACCCTCTGTACTTGTATTGCTGCATCCCTTGTGGGTTGTATTGAGTGAAGCCAAAGACGACTGACTTGACTGTCTTCTGCATCACAGGCACCATCAGTCTGATGATTTGGGGTGGGTTTTGCAGTCCTTGTTATACATCCTCACTATATTTTACAGCTGTGGGACGTACTAAGAAAAGGCAAGCCAAACAATGCAGTCATCATCCAGATAATAAAGATTCCATATATTTTTCTCAGCAGCATTTCCCTAATTTCCTAGAGCTGTATGTCAATGTCCTTGACATCACAAGTGCATTCACATCACCTTGTATCTCCAGCATACCCTGTCCTTTTTCTCAGAATTCACATTACTTCGTTGAGGAAACAAATGCCACTCCAGTCTTCATAAAGGGCAGGAAGGAGGACCCTGGGAACTACAAGCCAGCCAGAAGGTGATCAGGATTAGTCAGCATAGGTTCACCAAACAGAAATCACACTTAACCAATCAGCCTTCTATTGATGGTTCTGTTCCTTCTGGCTGGATAGATGAGGGGAGAGCAGTGGATGTTGCCTATCTGGACTTCAGCAAGGCTTTCGGCACCATCTCCCATGACATCCTCATAGGCAAGTTCAGGAACTGTGGGCTCGACAAGTGCATGGTGAGGTGGATTGAGAGCTGAGGAATGGCAGGTCTCAAGGGTTGTGATCAGTGGCACAGATTCTAATTGGTGACCTGTAACTAGCCGTGTCCCCTAAGGGCCACTGCTGGGTCCAGTATTGACTTGCTCATCAGTGACTTGGGCGAGGGGACAGAGGGACTTCTCAGCAAGTTTGCTGATGATACAAAGCTGTGAGGAGTGGCTGCCCCCAGAGCTGTGCTGTCATTCAGGGGGATCTGGACAGGCTGCAGGGGTGGGCAGAGAGGAACCTTTCGAAATTCAACAAAGGCAAGGGCAGGGTCCTGCACCCAGGGAGGAGTAACCCACAGCAGGCTGGGGGGTGAGCTGCTGGAGAGCAACCTGGGGGTCCTGGTGGACAAGAACTTGTCCATGAGCCAGCAGCAATGTGCCCTTGTGGCCAAGAAGGCCAGTGGTATCCTTAGGAAGAGCAGTGCCAGCAGGTCAAGGGAGGTAATACTCCCTCTCTACTCAGCCATGGTAAGGCCCCACCTTGAGTACTGTGTCCAGTCCTGGGCTTCTCAGCACAAGAGAGACGTGGAGCTCCTGCAGCAAGTCCAGTGAAGGGCTACCAGAATGACTAAGGGTCTGGAGCATCTCTCATACGAGGAAAGGCTGAGGGAGCTGGGCCTGTTCAGCCTGGAGCAGAGAAGACTCGGGGGATCTGATCAATGTGGATAAGTATCTGAAGGGAGGGTGTCAAAAGGACAGGGTCAGACCCTTCTCAGTGGTGCCAGGCAATGCGACAAGAGGCAGCAGGCATGAACTAAAACACAGGAAGTTCCACCTGGACATGAGGAAGAACTTTACTGTGAGGGTGACTGAGCATTGGAATAGGTTGCCCAGGGAGGTTGTCAGGTCTCCTCCCCTGGAGATATTCAAGAGCCATCTGAACACAGTCCTGACCAATGTGCTCTAGGTGACCCTGCTTGAGCAGGGAAGCTGGACTAGTGGTCCCTTCCAGCCTCAACCATTCTGTGATTACTGTGAAAATAGCACCTGGCAGAAAACTTTTTTAGTATTTTAAATTCAAGGTTAATCCATTTTGATAGGACTAGCAAATATGCTTCATGTGTTTTAATTGGATTTTTAAAAAACACAACTATGTTCAAGTTACAATTTACTTGAGAGTTTTAATTTAATAAATATATACTGCATTTTTAGACATTTATTTCTAAACATGCTGCATGTATTTTTTTGTGAACTTGAATTCCAAGTAGTTTTTCATAGTTAAAAAGCAGCAAATTGAATTTGAACCATTTTATGCTTTTACACTTTCGGTTCACAACAGCTATCCATAACAAAATAGTTAAGGTTCTTGAAATGTTCAACAGCTTCCTCTTCAGTCTAACAGGTGTACTGCTGTGACCTGATCATGCACACATGTGGTTTGTTCAGTATGCTCAGATAAGGTTTGTGTGGCCTTGGTTAGTGATTCATAAGGCCCAAGTATAAGCACTAGTTGGCCAAATTATTTACTTTCCATGTGTACTGAAACCTACATTTCTTCATCCTGTAACCTCCGTCTCAAGCGGTAAGGCAGTTTCATTTTGTAACTGTGTACAGTAGGTTGTTTTCAAGCAGGAAGGGGAGTAATGGTTGTCCTTGCACACATGCTATCTAATGCACAGCTTTGAACACATGCTTTGGATTCTATCTTTTAAATGAATGTTCTTCGTATTTCAGTCTCTAAACCAGCACCTTACTGGGAAGGAACAGCAGTCATTAATGGAGAGTTTAAAGAGCTGAAATTAACGGATTATGAAGGAAAATATCTTGTCTTCTTCTTCTATCCTCTTGACTTGTAAGTAAGTCCACTGTCAACATACCAAGACTGAATGCAGCTACGCTAGACTTGTAGTTCATTAATTATTCTTTTCTTTGTGGGTCTTGTTTTTTACTTTGGTAAGGGCTTGGGGGAAAAGAAAGTGATGGAAGAAAATATATTCTTTGCATTTGTGTTTTCATCATGCATTGGTAAAATTGTAACACAATCTTTGTTCTAATAACTGTCTCCACTAATTTGTGTCTCCACATAAAAAAAATAACCTTCATTCTGTAATACCCATCAGGCAGCCAGTAATTCTGTATGCTGCTGTAAATCATTGCTGCAAATAAGAGACAGCATCCCATCTATACTGGGGGATGTATCCAAGAGATGGCATTTTCCCTTTAAGCTCATCCCATAAAATCCTAAGAACACTTAACGTTACCTTTCTTTATTTAGAATTCAGTAACTTCCCTGGTTGGGTAAAAGCATCTCTGCTTTCTACCAAACAAGCCCATTCTTTTCCACAAAATGAAGAGGACAGAGATGCCTAACTACCTTAATATTACAAAGGAAATAACCCAGCTCTTCGCCCTTAGCTTCGAGGCCCTAGAAATTGTGATCTTTACTACTCTATTTCTTCTGTAGTGGAAAAAGTTCAAGTCAAAATAGTTAAAACTTGCAGACATGCACAGTAACAACAAATTATAGTATGGGCCTCTGGGGAAAAAAAAAAAGGGCTTATTGTGCTTAAATTCAGCCACTTAATATTCATAAAGTTTAAAGGCAAGTAACTGTAAAAACACATGAACCCAGATTGTAAGCTAACTGTAGCTTTATAATCTTCAGTAACAAATCATTTATACAGCTAAGCTAGAGTCTGAGGCTGCAAGATTTGTCAGGCAGCATTCAAGCAAAAGCTGAAATCATTTATAATAAATCCACCATTTTAAGTTAAACAGAGAACTTACTGGATGCTTCATGAAATTCTGATTTTATCTTATCTTACATTATCTAGTACATTTGTGTGTCCAACTGAGATAATCGCCTTCAGTGACAGAATCGAAGAATTCAGAGCAATAAACACCGAAGTAGTAGCATGTTCTGTGGACTCAAAGTTCACTCACTTAGCATGGTATGTATCTTATCCTTGTCTTTCAGTAAAAATTATTCATGAGTCCATCTTAGCTGAAGAACATTATTGCAGATATTTAGCCTATGTAGGTATATCATAATGAGTAAAAGCATGATGCTACTTATACCGATGTTTAAAATATTTTTCAGTGGTAAAAATTTTTAACCCTAGTCCATGAAAGTGCCTTTATCTTTGAAGCTTGTTCAGTATGTTACTTGAAATATATTATGTCTCAGTCCAAAAAATACTATGAATACACAAAAAGAGGTAAGAATACAAGTATCCGTCAGTGCATTACACTGACCAAATTCATGAGCACATTAGTATAAAGGACCTATGACTGATAAGAAAGAAGTTGTTATTAATGGATATGGCAAAAAATCTACTGAACATTTTTCTCAAACCATAAATAGTATTCATCTCTGTGTGCAGAATAAAAATGTCACTTGTATTAAGTCCTTCTGTCTGTGTTGCTCTGGTTTGTGACTTGTAAGTTTGTGTAGGGAATATAAATCTTCATGAGAAATACATCTGTATCTCATTTCCTTCAAAGGATTAATACTCCCCGAAAACAAGGAGGACTTGGACCTATGAAGATTCCACTTCTTTCAGATTTGACGCACCAGATTTCAAAAGATTATGGAGTATATCTGGAAGATCAAGGACATGCGCTTAGGTATTTCACTTGGTTAGAGTTATTTTTGGGGGTTTGGGGTTTTTTTCCTAGGGTAGTACTTACTATTTTATATTTAAAAAAAAAAGCATTTTAAAGTCTTTGAGAGCAGGTTTTACTTGGGGATTCATGCCAAGAGACAAAATAAACATTGAAGAACACAAAAAAATAAAGGTTATAATGAGTCAGAAGAGGGGCTGAGGTTAATATCCTGTTTAGCAGCCATTAACATCAGTGGATATCTAGGGCAGGGCAAACAGAATTCCCCAGAACTGCAGTTACTCAGAGCCCTCCCAAGTCCAAGTGGAATCAAGACTAAAGGTAACTAATGGCTTCAAGAGATATATCTTTCATAAACTTGATTAGTTGCTTTTGGGATCCCTGTAACATCATAGCATCTGCAACATCCCCTGGCAGGGCCTGTCAAAGCATAGTTTTAGGTACTGCAGAGAAGTAGCCTATTTTGGTTTTAACTTATCTGCAGCTTGTGTCATCTGATATCCCACATAAAATAATAGTAGGTGACTAGCATTCTAACGTGTTGGGCATTGTATGGTGTTTGCAGAGATCAAATTCCTCCTGTTCAGCAGACATAAAATAAACACAACACTGTAATTAGTTCTGTTTCCTAACACACAGCAAAAAACTGTTTTCACAGAGGCCTTTTCATTGTTGACGATAAGAGAATCCTTCGACAGATCACGATGAATGACCTTCCTGTTGGGAGATCAGTGGATGAAACACTTCGTTTAGTACAAGCATTCCAGTACACAGACAAACATGGAGAAGGTACTCTTTCAGATACGTTCATGTTGAAGATTGTTTTACTTATACTGCAAGCTGTATTTGTAGCTTTTTGGAAGAAAGGTACTTGGTAGCATTAGAGACTAGTCTCATGCATTGAGTGAAGTGGCTTGATTGCCCTGCTACAAGGACCCAATATCTCCAGAGGTAGTTTCTAGAATAGTAATTCACACTGTGCCTCACATCCATGAGAATGCAGTACATAAAGCATTCCTTAATCTGAATTAAGTCCTTATGTACCATCTGTCACAAGCATAAACCTGCACAAAACATGAGGCCATGAAGAATCAGGCCAAATATTTCAGTACATTTGGCATACTACAATAATTGAGATGCAGGCCATTCTTGTCCTGTGTCATTTACTGAGGATCTGTGACAGGTAATTGAGAGCGATTCATATCAAGATACACACTGATACTGTGGAAGTTAGACCGCCATTACTTGTATTTTCTTTACAAGTGCTATGTGATTATCTTCCCCTGACAAAGCAGCTTTCACTTCAGATCATTACTTTGCTTCAAGAATTCATATTCCCCCAGTTCAAGCATAAGGTGAACTTTTCACATTCCTTTAAATACTGTGTTTAAGAAACACATTAATTTATGTAAAGATTTGTTTAAATGTTAATACAAATGTTTAGCAGCTTATCTTCTATTTCAACTCAATTTCACCCAGCATTTGAAAGTACCTTTATGTGAAGGTACAAAATCATTATTATGCTTTCCTGTACAGACTTAAAAAGATATATGATGATACTTAGGCTACATGCAGTTCACAAAGGAAATTCAGCCTCACTGAGTTACAAAGTTGTCTTACAGAATATCGATCTCCAGAGCAGCACATTTTTTTCCATCTTTTGCAGTAATGATGAGAATAGCCTCCCTAGACACTTTATTGGATTCTTTGCACAGAATAGGAGAAAGAGTTCTCCACAATTCCTAACTGTATTTGTGGCATTTTGTCTGACAGCACACCTGAAAAGCAGTGTAATATGGCATAACTCACTAGGGTAAAGCCTCGGAGGGAGAGCTCTGAACAGAAAAGAGCTTCACTCCAGAATGTGCAACTGTACAGGTGGTCACAGTAAACTGCATGTTAACTGCACCCTCTAATCCCTTTACTTCTGAGCAAGGCTTCAAATAAAATCACTTGATCTCTTGTGGAATCTTTGAACTGATTTCTTTGTTAAAAAGTTCCCCTAGCATTGGTTTTCAAGGAATGTAGGTCTCTGTGTAGTCACCTGAATTTAATTAAGAAACTTTTGTTTCTACTAGAACAGGGGCTCATTCTCAGATACTGCTTTGCCAGCACTTTGTCTAGAAGGGCATGAGAATTAAACGAAGGCATAGATATCCATCCAGAGACAGCCAGTTCCCAGTTAACAGGAGTGGTAGGTGGTATCAGGCATAAACTGTTACACCACCATCCCATGTATAAAGAAAAATGCATATTTATTAGTTACATATATTTACATGTGATGCCTGCATGCTCTTTTACTTCAAATTCAGAAAGAGAATATCAAGTGTGCAAAAGTGTATGTAAATATACTTTTACTAACTTTGTCATTTTTCTTTTCCAGTTTGCCCTGCTGGTTGGAAACCTGGCAGTGAAACTGTAAGTCACTGCTTATATTTAAATGCATATACTACTAAAAAACACTCAATTATTATTTCCACTATAGCTAAATCCAAAATCTTTGCAACTTTCAGTTAGATGATATGAGTAAACTCACATTGTTACAGTTACAGCTTTCGGATTACGACCGATTTCATTAGAAGCTCAATTATGTCTAGTGTAGAATTATAATTTCCCTCACACTAGACTTATTCCAGTTGTTTCAATTCCCCATGTGAACAGAACTTTCTTAAGCAGCAATGAGTTTGTGCTCAAGAACTTGTTTCCTGTTAACACCTGATGGAAGAAGTTGGAAACTCTCGAGTCTGTCCTGCCTTCTCAGGTTTTGTCCGTATCAGTTCTTGGTTCTGTCAGGTCTTACTGTGGATCCTAGGCACTACCCAAAAAAAGAAAGACACAAGGTCCCAGGCTGCTGTAGTATCTGACAGAGCCAGTGTGCCATTAGAGCTCCAGCAGAGAGCATTGCTTTGCTGCACAACAGCTCTTCCTCCTTTGCTACTGTTCGCCTACATGTAAGAGGACAAGGAGAAAAGTGAGGGTTCAGACAAACACCCATTTAAGGTGTTCGTGTTCTGTGGCTTTCATCAAGCCTCAGCAGAATAATGAAACTTTCACTAGAGGGCTGAGCTGCCTAGTTCAGATGAGCTCACTGTCATTTATTTGAGCATGTGGCTTTCTTCTGAACCATTTGGTGATGACAAAGAGTTGTTGTTTAAGAGCTGTCTCAATCAAAAGCAGGTCCCAACAGCCTCTAGGCAGAGTAGCCATTGTTGTAACTAATTGATAGTAAAAACACTGGAATGTTAAAAACTGTGTTTCTTTGCTGGAGTACTTCCTGGGATAACTGGAGGCTAGGAATCACCTCTTTCAAGCTAGAGGAAGAGCATACTGAGAGAAACTGGATATTAAGACTATAAGATGAAAGAGGGTTGGCTGGCATAACAAACATATTTTGGCACTGGGAAGTTAGGCCCTCCATAACCATGGATCACCTAAATAATACAATATTAACATATTTTTAAAAAAACAGTCTAAGAATGCTGAGATTAACAGCTTTAGTACTATCAGTTTAAAAATCTAGAACAATACATAAGCATTCTCTTTCTCCTCTGTGCAAAAGATGCAGATAATCTAAGTAGCAAAGTAGTTCAAAAAGCCTGTCTCAAAGATGTAGCCATGCCTTCTAAATGTGTTTGATTTAATTAGATCAAACCAGAGGAAGCCATGAGAGTGTGGTGGCCAAGGGAAGAACTGTAAGTAAATCCTAAGACTGCTGATTACAGACGTTAATTGATTAAAATCTTGCTTTGGGGGCAAGGAACATACATGTATGTGCTCCCAACTGCCAGAATTCTTCCTTTGGTAGGCTGCACTCTCTCTTCCCCCAATCAGTTAAATCTTTCTGCTTTCAAGTATCTTCAGAAGTAAAGAGTAATCTAGTATCAAGTCAGCTGATAAATTACTCTCCAGTGTTGCTTGTGGGTTGGCCTTAATACCATGTTATATGATGCTGTTCTGGTTTTATGGTTTGTTGTGTTTGCATGGTTTTGGTTTTTGACTAACATTTTCACTTTCTTTCTTACACAGATAATTCCAGATCCAGCTGGAAAACTGAAATATTTTGATAAACTAAACTGAGGCTCGCTCCTGTTGAATTACATAGGTCACATTCCGTTTGATTTTGCCAATAAAATTTCATTAATTTTGTTACTTTCCTGAGTTTGACTAATATGTAACTGCAGTAGACTACTGAAGGCCTTGTTGCTTAAACAGGAATCTAACCTGTGTGAAGTCCAGGGTGAGCAGAACTCCACTGAGCCCAAGCCTCCCCCATCCACCCCTGCAAGGGGAGAGAAGTTCCCATCTACATATAGAGGGTAAGGGAAGCACAGCAGGACCAGCACCAAACACCCAAAGCTCGTACTGTGCTACCAAGCCCCTATGATCTCAAGAGGGGAACAAGTAGAAAGCCAGTTTTTTATGTTACCAAGCTGTAAATCAGATGCTTGAATTTTATTCAGGATTTTGTTTACAGCTTTTATAAATCCTGAAACACCAAAAAACATCAACACAGAGAATGTTCAAATAACTCCAAGCAACTGCAGCGTGATGAATGCAGGACAGGCTGTTACATGGCTATTCATAAGCAGCCCAAGGCAAAAAACAAACCTAACACTTGTGCCTGCCCTAGAAATGGTGCTTGTGCCCTGAGCTGAGAAAATAAAACAGGACTGAGAACACTTAGTGACTGAAGAAAACCAAGGCCATCTCCACACCTTGAACATTGCAGAGTTAGGTCCACAGCAGTGTAGCTATGTCAAATTTGAAGGCCCCAGCCCTCTAAACACATGTGGCAAAGAAATGATTAGCTAATGGATGAAGGAAATGATTTTTTTTTTTTAAAAAAAAAGCAGTTTAATGGGGATGAAAAGTTTTAGAGAAATAGTCCTTAAGCAAAGACTTGAGTCATCATGTGACATACTTGAAATGAAAGATTATGTATATGGAAAAAGAAAATAGGGTTTTTCAGAGATCTGGACATGCTGATGGAGAAGTTTAAGAGAGAAAAAAGAATGAGGAAAAAAGAAAAAAATGTTTGAGGTGGGAAAGGTGAGAGTTGACCAGGGAAACAGGGTGGAAACAAAGGCAGATCCTTAGTTACACACTGCCTCCAGGAAAATGAAGGAAGGAAAAGAAGCGAAGAAGAGATTCCTGAATGAGAGAGTAACATTGGAAATCAGGGGGAGGAAGAACCCTGAAATCTGTGGGTTTGGGATCATTAGTATTTCCAGAGATGCAAAACAACTGGCAACCTAAGGATTTTGCTTACTGTTACCTACAAAAGCTACTGCACTGTAGCAGTGCAAGACCCACTCCTCTTCCACACACATCACTAATTCTTGCAAAGTGCTCCAGTGTATTTTCTATGCAGGTATCAACTACAGCTTCCACAAAAGGAGTCCCTGCTTTCTCTTTCATGAAAGCTGAATATTTGCCTTTTTATATTCCCATGAGCCCATGAAGAGATAATCTCTCCCACAGCTAGGTAAAACTGCATTTAGAGGAGTCATTACTGTGCCCACCAGGCAAAGGCTGAACTGAATGTGCAGTACAACCAATTAAACGTGCAGTAAGTTTGGAGCAGGTTTCTAAACTGAAACCCTTGCTCAGTGGCCCATACTGCACCGGCTCCAGCAAGCTTCTTCCCAGAACACTGCGCACTGCAATGTGGCTGCAAAGGATCTGTGCGCATTTGAAGAAGGGCTACTAGAAACTGTTCCAGTAATTCTGAGAAAGTCATTTTATTATTTTTTAAGCACAGAAACAATAAAACCATTTGAAACAAAGTGCTTTTTCAGGCACTGTGCTCAGCCAGTCCCACAGAAATCTTCTTTTATATCACCACTGAGAAGGTATGCGGAGGCAATCCAGCTAGCACACACTTCCTCCTCCTCCTCACTGTATTCCAAGATGTGATGGGCACAGAAACATTTACCTCCCACTGCAGAGCCACAGCCAATTACATAGAAAGGTTCACTACAAGTGAGAAGACTTTCTACCAATATCTTTAGGCACAAGCCATGCTAATGGCTAGTCACAGACAGCAGTGATGGGGTGGCCATTAAGGTGCAACATAAGCTCACCATTATGTTAAACATTTTAAATTTGAATGTGAGATCCAAGAAAAATTTTCTCTCACACACAAAGGTACAGAGCGACATGCATAAATAACACCCTTGAACAAAGACACATTTAGCCTCTTATCAGAGAGGGTAAAAACTTGGAGTTACCTTCTTGGAGTAAAAAATACTTGAGCACATACTCTTTGTCTTTCTGTTTACTCCTGTATATGTTTGTATATCTTTTACATATATGTATATATATACACACACTTTCTGTGCAACTGTACATACATTTCTTTATCTACTGTGATAGTGGTATGCATTTAAGTTATGATGAACTCTGAAAACACACTAATTTTTCTAAGCATCTTCATCTGTGGTACTCATTTTCTTCCTACTCTTGCTCCCTACTCTACTGCATATATTTTGCCTCTTTCATCCCTTCCCAAAGCTGAATTGACAAATTACGATATATACAGCTGAAGAGGCATTAGAGGAAGAACTTGGTACCCCCTTAACCTACAAGCGTTACACAAAAGTGACCCAGGTAGGACCACTGGGTTGATGTAATCCTTCAGACAGTCTGACATAGATCCCTCCACTTCCTGCCTTCCAGAGTTTCAGTTCAGTGCCTCAGTTCTTTATATGTGTGGTCAGCTAAGCATATTCAGCTTCAAGAGGTTTTTTTAAAGGATAAAAATAGAAAATACAATATGTATCTACATTGTTATAACTGTAATAAAAAGACTGTAACAGCATACAGCTGGATCAGCACTGGAGTGTGTCTGAAGAGAGGAACTCCATGCAAGGAACCAAGAGCTTGCTATCACTTCAATGCATCCAATACAGATCCGGCAATGCCCCTGTGCCTCCCCTGGAAAGATAACTAACTTCTGAAGGCAGCCAAATGTTAGGGAAGGCTGATGTATAACACACTGATTGTTTCAACACTCACCCTCCTTGCGGGAGTACCAATCAGCTGTTAGGAGCCATGACCTTCATGCTATCCTAGCTCCAAAGGAAGCTCATCTTAACTGTGAATTTCTCAAACTTTCTAACTAAAAAAAAATTTCAACATGTTGCTTTACTTTATCAACCTGTTTTGTGCATCTGTGCTGATTCACATAACTTCTACATACTGCTTCCTGATTTCAAGATTTTAAACCCAGCAGGGAAGCCAGAGTCTGTTCTTGTGTATTGTAAGATGTCATATTTCATCCATTTAACCTACCATTGAGCCTAGCTACTCCTGATATTGGAGATTATTTAAACTTTCTCCACCACATCAGAAACACTTTGGTGCCAAGTACTTTCTCCCTGTTACTTAGATACCATAGTTATGTCCCCATGGTGTCCCTTCTGTGACGGAGAATTACTCTGTGCTTCACAGATAAACTTGACAATTTTTAAAGCTGTGCAATACTCATATTTCATTACAGTCTACAAAGGAACCAGAAAATAATCCAGCCAAGGGGGCTTTCCTCTAGCTGCATCCTCAGTGGGATAAAAATCCTCTCTCCGTTCAGCAGCTGACTTGGGAGCTGCTCAGTGCAGATTTGCCAGACCCCTGATGCCAGCATTAAACATAACCATTGCCATTTGAGCAGCATTTTACTTTTTCTGCTCCCAATCCCTAACAAACCAAAACATTCTACCCTACAGTGCTGTTTCCCAGTCCCACCCAACCTCACCAAGCACATCTCTACAGACCATGAGAAATAATTCATAAGGAACTTACAGTTATATACAACAAAAAAAGTTAGAAGAGGCTGGCAAGGGCTAGCTGTACACAGACAGAATGCCAAAGAGGCCATATGGTCACCTCATTCCATCACAAAATCCATTTTTCTCCCAAGGGAACCATGAAAACATCCAAAACAGGAGCTGTACAGCCTTGTAAAATCCCAGCTAATGGAAAGCACCTGCTTTACACTGAGCACACACTAGGAACTTCTGAGCTTATGCTTGCTGCCCAATGCAAAAAATAAACCTAATTTACACAAGAATGTAGGTCAAATGGCTTTTATCTGTGTGTATCTACTTATTGCACACCTTTTTCTGATAAAACTTCTATCCCTTATCAGGGAAGCACAAAGGAGAGCTACTAAGAGAAAGAAGGCAGATGGTGACAAGACAGCAAAGGTCATAATGCAATTACTCAAAGCAGACAAAAAGAAGCTACCTGAAGCTTAGTACTGTATTTTTTCAGGCTTTTTTCCTAGCATTAACATGTGAAAATAGATTTCAACAAATCCTAGTAGCAAAGAATAAAAAAATCCAAATATATGCAAATATATAAATAGCATTTAAAAGGTGTTTTCTGTTGTGGGGTTCAGGTTTGTGGTTTCTGGTTTGGAGGGGATTTGGTTTTATTTTTTGCACCTGTCTGTTAGCCATCTCTGGTGACAACTCTTTCCAAGACAGCATGCTGCTATTCTGCTGATCCAGTGCCTGTCAGATTTCTTTCATCACAGCAGCAAAGTGTCGCTTCCCATCTAAATACAACATGGACTCTGAAATAAGGTGGAGAAAAGAGAACCACATTAGTACCCTAGTGTCAGTACTGCGCAACTTCATAATTGGTAAGATAAGAAGTAATCCACATGGTCATGAAAGCATAAAATAAACTTGGTTTGCCATGAAACCCTGTTACATTATTCAAATGCCATTAGTTCAGTTATTAGAATGACCAGTGTTCCAACAGAAAGTCATCTTTTCTACAGAGTTATGACAACAAAGCACTAATTGCATACTTGCCTCCGTATGTTTTGGGGACAACTCGTGGAACCTCATTTTCTGATATAAATGTAAAATGGAAGATATTGGTTGTGTGGTGATCCCTGGTGTCTGCATCATAAACCTCAGTGTGTACTCGAACCTGGATGTAGTTTTTTTCTGTGTAACAGACCTGCACAGTTAAGAAAAGATTTGTAGTTCCTACTTTATTACTGGCATTGACACACTGTAACAGACTTCATTACACTGTCTAACAATCGAAGTGCACACTCTCATAATGCACTGTTCATTATCAGTGATTAACAGCGACTACAGCAAAGATAAGTTTTTCTCTTTTAAAAAAGAAATTGACTCCTACCTGTCCAGAAAGCAGTAACAAGGATCCAACCTCAACTGGCCTCTGAAACATGATGTCATCAACAGATACAATAAAAGGTCTGGAACCCCTGAGCAAGAAAAAGAGAAATTTCTTCTCAAGACTAATGAGGGTGTTTGGAGAAATTTAAAAATATTTCCTCATCAGCTTTTGAATGAAGGCTTACTACAGCATATACCTTTCCTAAAGGCAGGCCACAGGAAGTGCTACAGAATTATGTTATCACCCACGACAAAAATAACTGGAGGCAAACTCTCACACCAATAAAAGCACACATTCTCTAAGGACATGGCAGGGGGGTTGGAACTTGATGATCTTAAGGTCCTTTCCAACCATAACTATTCTATGATTCTATAACATGTTATTGAATCATTATTCTATCTTATAACTTATACTTGCTAGGCAATCTTCGTGCCATCACTGCCAACAGTTTTCCAAGCACTGACATGAAGCACTTCTCTTTGCATCAGGCTAGACATACTCCCATTAAACTTATGAATAGACCTTTGCTGGCTGATGACCTCAGTCACACTTTCTAAGCACAAGAAGCTACTAGAAGAAGCTCAGAAACTATTTTGCTTTTGTACGGAATGAGAAGATATACTTATTTGGCAAAATGTCTATTTTATATGGTTAGAAAGAAAACGTATCTTCAAAAGTCAATCTCAATGGCTTGGTAAGATAAAAGAAAACAGAAAAAGGATGTATTTTCTAACTTGACATGTGATGCTTAACAAGAAGCAAGATGCAAAACTCTGTAAATACAAGAGACTCTCTAGATAAAGCAGTGCTGTGCACTAACAGTGCAAAATTCTACTAGACACCTACTTTTCTACTCAGATTGTCATTAGGCTGGTTAGTTTGGCTTCCCAATCTATGTGTATGTGCACAGTGCTCTGGATTATATAAATATTGAAGGTCTACAACTCACCCATAGCTGCAAGCAATTGCCCATCCAAGTTCAAACGCCTTTCTCATGAGAAAACCTCCAAAGATCCTATTGAAGATGTTTCGTTCCTATAGGTGGAAACAAAAAAAAAAAACCAAACTGCTATATTACTTACATTATTTCCAAAGCATCATGTTGAAGTCTTCACTTCAGTTCACAGTATTTAACAGAACTCCCAATACCTGAATATAGAAAAAGCACTACTGAAATACATATATAAAAGTCAAAATAGCTGAGGCAACTTTACTTAATAGAAGCTGACTCTGACATCATTTGACTCATTTGACAACATAAAACCTCAGAATTGTGCAGTAATCAGAAGCCCAACCTTAACACTTTGAGAAGGACTCTCTTTACATAAAATGAGTAGTCTGGTAAGAAAACAAGGTAATTAAAAATCTATTTTGCAGTGGTAACCAATATAGGTAACAGAAAAATGACAAAAGAAACTGAGATCTAAATACATTGCAAGGACTGCAGAACTGAAACAAAATAATGGATTGGTTAATCTTACAAGACAATTCATAAGTAATTGCTTCTGTAATTTATTTTTCAAAATACCTGAGGATGGCAAATCTGTAGCCCTTTTAGCTTTGTATCTTCCATCCACACTGAATTGGGTGGTAATTTACGACTCCGGAAACTTACTGTCCTTTGGAAGAGATAATAAATTTTATAGCCCACATTAGGAGAATTCAGCAAGTGAAAAATGCACAAATAGCAAATGCAGACACACACTGAGGAAAAGGAAAAAAAAGACCAATAAAACAATAAAAAAGGACCCCCCCAAAAAAGTATAAATTCCTTCACTAAAAGCTGTTCCAACTGACCTTGAAGCCTTATCTAAAGTGATACTTTGATTTTTACTGCAATAAGCCTATGCTCCTGATCTTTCAAAAACTTCTGTTAATGCTCAAGCTTATGTGAATGAACAAGCTCAAGAAACGTACATGAAAGATGAATCACAACCACAAAGCCTGTCAGAGAAAGTCTTACTGTTTTCTAAGTCATAACAGGACTTAAAAGCACACAATGAGCTAACAGTAATTAAACATCAAACATGTAGACAGTTTGAGGTTTTCAAATCCAGACAGAATGTGTACAAAATACATCTGCTAATTTTAGGGGAAAGCATGTTTCACTTTGGTAAACAGCTTTGAAAATAACAACTGTGTAATAAGTTAAAGAAATAACAAATTATCCACAAATACACCACTGCATTAATGCCCTTAGGCATTGTTCTATCACCACTGGCACTGGATGATTTCCCACAAAGCTCAAATATAAGAGAAGTACATCAACAACAGTCTCCCCCAAATACTGCTTTCATGTATTACATTTAAAACACACGGCAAGGTTACCTGATCAAAATATGGCCAATTCCTACCCTGACAGGTTTTTCTCTAGATATCAGGGCAGAAAACTCTCAGACTGCGCAAGTCACACAGCTGCAAAACCATTCCCTTCCCTTATTTGGTTAAGCATCACTAACACTTTTCCTCAAGATTATTCCCAACAACTGGCTCAGAAGCATTTTGTGCTTATAGTGTCACTTTTCATCATCTTGGCACAGCTAACACTAACAACAGAAGACTCTTTCAAGAGATGCACATTAAAATTTGTACCTGTGTTTCAAATAAACTGCCACAGAATTTAAATGGTGAAATGGGAAAACAAAATGCATGCTTTTATTCCAGACTACCCTCTTACAAGCACCCACTTAAAAGGCACATGACTTTTCCAAAAGACTTCAGTTCTACTCCACCCCTCCCCTTCTTGCCTTGTGTCCAACGTATTAAGGAATATGTCATGAATAATGTTTCTTTCTTCTGCAGTGGGCGCCATTTTCAGTAAGGAAGCGGTGCTGAAATCAATCCTCTTCAGTTTGTTCACTAAACATTTTTTAAAGAAACATATTACAGTTCAAAGAAAAAAAAACATTTGACTTGCTCTGAACATTTTAACACGGAATCAGCCGTCTCTTTCCTTTTCTCTTTTTCCCCCAGAAGCTAAAAGCTGTAACTCCACAGTCCCATAGATTCAAACAGAAATCTGGCTTTTAGAATTGACTGTATCAAAGAAAAATAAGGTAGAACTTCACTGTTTCCTCACCAATGTGATGAAGACCTTTTATACATAACTGCTACCCACCCATGGCTCCTACAGAAAACTTCAATATTCCCCTCAAAGTATAAAAAAACATATCAAAGAAGAAACCTTACAGAACAACCAACCTTCTTCAGGTTTTGCCAATGGTACAAGAATGCAAATTTATGACACACCTTACTACCATAGGCCACAAGGGTTGAAATTTTAGATCTTCTGTTCAGTTCATTCAGACTTTAATGTTTCTCTAATTCTCTGCTTTAATATTCCAGCTTGAAACAAAATAAGATGGAGATACACAGTCCTTCCCTGGTTCCCCCCCCTTTCTTTTTCTGAATTTCTTTCCAAAAAGAACAAGGAACTCGACAGGCAGGAAGCTGTGATGAACCCAGCAGGCCCACCATGGGGGCAATCAATCAGCCAGAGCATTAGGAAAGCCTGTGCTGCGCTCAGATCTGAAGTGGAAAGAGCATCCTAGAAACTGAGAACTCTACTTGGGGTGCAGAGCACATAAGGAGTGCCCTTCTGTGTCAGTTTAGCCAAAGAGTTACCAAGACTGGTGATAGCAGGCTTTTAACCTCTCTTACACTACTGACATATGAGACAGAACAAAACATAGTTTTGAACAAATTAGGAGCATTTCTAAGTAGCAACATTTCTGAAGTTTATTTCCTTCTAGCTATTAAGTTGAACCTGAGGCACATGTGCATACTACCAGAAAATCTGACATACATTCCCCTTGATTGAAGATTTTTTCTTCCTCAGGGCTCTCAGGAACTAGTGGATTAACAAATGCTGGCCTATGGACAAGAATTTTTGGTTTAGTTACAAACTTTACAATAATATTTCCTCTAAAAACATTATAACAGTCTTCTATTTTTGCTTATATACACAGTACAAGATGAAAAGAGATACCTGCGGTTATATCACAGAAATAGATTATTTCATATTGTGCAGCTGCCAGCAGAATACCAAATTAGCTTTAACTCTCAAGAGGCAGTTAAATGATCCAACCACTGTACAGCATAATTAAGAAAGGGTGATGCATCGACGTTTCTTAAAGAGCTAAATCTGTACACATGGATTAAAATGAAGATTTTTCAAGCTGTTTAAAAATTCAGCAAATGAAGATGTGATGACCCAGGATAGTCCAAAACGAATACATGAAACTTGAATGGTACCACTCCTCATGGAGCAGAAAGCACACAGTGCTGTAGCTAGCAAGTGTTTTTACAATCTACATGTTCCCGTGGCAGTCTTATCAACAGCTGAAAGCTGTTTACCACATATACCACTTATCAAAGAAGATATGAGGCTGCCTTGAGCACAAATTTGTGTGTTTATTTTTCTGCACAACTAAGTTTATTCTGACCTAATTACATAACATTATTTATTGTCACAAGGAAAGGCAAACACTTACTTTCAAGAGCCATTCTTCCCCATAATTTCTAATTATTATTTTTCTATTTCAACATTAATACAAATGCTCAGAACAATATATATATATACATACACACAAACAAATATCTGCTGAACAATTCAACTCTGCCCCAAGCCTTTACTTGAGATGGTGACAGAGGCATGCAGAGAGGATGTTTTAGCTTAGAACAAACTCCTCTTTCCTGGTTTGCTAAACCTCTGGATTTCAGAGACACACCAGCTCCTTCTCCATGATAGAGCTCATGCACTCTCTCCACAGCTCAGGACACATCTACAGCAGCTGTCCTGTTCAAGACCCAAGCTGCACAGATGAGCGTTTGCTATAGCCCAAGAGCCACACATCCATGCTTTTATGGCACTATAACTAACCTAACATACCCTGTGCCTCTCTGAAAGGTTTTTACTTCACGTAGAATAAATATCTTCCTTATATGGACAGAATGCTTCCAAAACGTAGCTGGCTTGAGAACAGCAACTAAAGTTTGTATCTATTTGCACAAGTTCATATAGGCTTGTCCTAGGTCAATCTGCTAGTGTCTAATTACATCAGATTTGATGTAACTCTTTTGCAAAATAAGTCCTTAAAATGAGAAGCATAATTATATATAGATATTTTAATGTACAGTATGTTAATAGGGTCTAAGAAAATATTACAAATCTGAATGAAACCAACCTAATAAGTACTTCTAACATTATCAGGACTAAATAACTATGTCAAGCTAACTCCCCCTCATTAAACATATCCTTTTTCATTAAATACAGGCAATTATTAAAACTAGTTAGAAAATCATTTATCACTTTTACAGGCTACACAAGAAAGAGGTAAGAAATGCAACCGATTTTTCTGGTGCTAGAGACAAACAAAAACTAAAATTAAGCAGCCCATTAGTTTAATGACTGAGGAGTTACAGAATGAGTAAAACCAAAAAATGGCTTATGGGTTGTTTGGTTTTTTTTTTTTTATGTTCTGTGAATATTTATTAGTTCCATGTCACTTAGATAAGTAAGTTTTAGACTGAATTATTCTGATGAAACCTATCGTATCTATTAGGGAATTAATGGCATTATTCACTCAGACTATTTAACCACCAAAACTCAATCTTTTCCAGTTTTATGGCAAGACGGCAATTAATTCTAACAACTCTTAGAATGCAGGTGGGTTTCTAACAGACTCATTCATTTCTGTGTTTATCTGGCCAGTCATTCAAATGCAGAAAAAAAAAAACCTAAGAAAAGGGTCCAATCCCAAGATTAACAGCAATTCCTGGTATCACCTGTTAAATCAGTGCTCCAAAACTTGTCACAGGAAAGTAACACTTACCAGCAGAAAACATCAACTATGTGATTGGTCACCTATGCTACATGCCTTATATGTGGCTACATGCCACACACATAGCAAGCTGCCATGTTTGCTATTTTCACCACAGTAGGAATCTGAAAACTGTTTTCCTCTCCTACAACTTACCCTTTATTCTCTGGATCCCGGGCCACCATGACAAAGGTTGCATCTAACACAGGGCTGTAATCACCATCATGTAGCTAAGAGAGACAGGAAACAATTATATTCTAAAAATACAATTATAAATGTGCTTAGCAAACTATTCAGTTGACATCAACTATGCCATCACACTGTTAATGCTGTTTACTTTCCCATTCTGTCATCCCACCCAAGATCTCTCACAACAGGTCAGAAAGAAATAAATAATGCAAATTAAAACTCTAGTTTCAGGAATACTTCAATGTAAATATTACACTGGGAATACTTATTAACTACTACTTTCAGCTGGGTGGGGAGGAAATCAATGCAGGCATTGTAAAAGGACCCTTTATTCTGAGAAACACCAGAACATTTTCTGTCAATAACAAATTGCCACTAATGCCAGCACTGTGAGGAGTTCAGACAATAAAGGTAAAATGTTACTGCCCATATCAAAGGCTCCACTTAGGGAGACCAACTGAATAAAAAATAATTACCTGTTTCTCTGAATTATAGCCACTAACATAATTTAAGTGGTCATAGCATATCTTTGCTGCCCTAAATAATTAAATAACGGAATTAACATCTCAGTTAACTAATCAATTGACAGTAAGCATTCAATAGAAATTTTTTAATTTAATTATGAATATTCCTCTTGCTTCCTGCACAGTGTAGTCTTGTTACACCTTCATTTATTTTCTATGCTTTAGTATTTAATAACTTACTACAAAAGTTGTGCTACACAGCAGATAAGATGGACACAAGAGATACAATTTAATACTGAAACTGAATACCAAATAAAAAAATAAAGTTTGCCAAAAGCAGGGGGAAAATCAGTTAAGAACATGCAGAGCACAGTCACATTTTTTTTTTCCTGTAGGAGTACTGTGTCGCAGTTTAATTACAAAACACTGGTTAAGAAAAATGCATCTTGAAAGAAAAGTAAGCAACAGAGTAATTTGCTGCATCTACACTACTTGAAGTTATCTTATTCTTGAAACACCAGGACTGCCTCAAGCCCTTTAAAGACAGTTATTCTAGAAAATGTAATTCATATTGCTAATATCATCCAGAACTCCTCCGAAGCGTTTCATCCCTGTGATGAGATGGAGAGAAGTCACAGGAACTAACCTGCAGCATGTGCATCTTCACTTCCATTGAGGTCTTCCCAACCCAAGAAACATTGCCTGTGAATCTGATGTCACAATCTGGATATATAATCCTCTTGCACAAATCTACAACACAAACATTAGAGGCTGCTGGATCACTAACATGTAACATTAGAAAGACTGGATTTTCTAAGACCATTTGTGTTCTGCAAGTGGCAACACATACAAAGTCAACCCAGAAAAGACAGTTGTTGCAAGGGACCACACTGCCAGCCCGCAGTTTCTGCCTTGTCAGAACAGGAGAACAGGAGAAGGAACAGAAGCCAGAACAGAAGGAAGTACGCACACAAATGGCAGACCCACAGCAGTGTTCAGCAGAACATGCGACACAAGTGAGATCTAACTCCACCAGAACAAAAACTGTTCAATAATGAACCCAAGAAGCTCATGTCAAAATGAAACCAAACGCAAATGTTCATGAAATTTGTATTTGAAAGGAAGGGAAATGTGAAACATGAAATGCTCCCCCTTCAACAAAACAAGATGAAGTGAACTAAACAGGAGCGTGAAGAAGGTATCTTCAGTAACAACCCAGGGACAGCAGTAGCTGCTGAAAGAGGAAGACAAACAAATGAAAACATTCCTACTGACCAAATTGCCACTTACTGATTTTATCCACCAGAGCTGTAACTATTGATAAAGGAGACTTTGGCTGCATTTCCTGCTTGGTGTGAGTGTAGCAAATAAGAACTGTGGAGAGACCAAAAATGAGTCAGCTCTTTAACAAAAAACTTCAGTGGAGCAGATCAAAGCCATCTTTGTGAAGCATGAGAAGTACGTGCAAAACACAAACTAAAGTATGTTTCAGAGCGCACATGACTTCCACATTTTGTGTAACTCACAAGATTGCTATAAAGAAAAACGATTCAGTAGCTGTCTCAGTTATACGCATATTTACTGGCTACAAATAGAAATGTAATTGACCACTTTAACTCATCGCTCCACATGCAATCCCACATAATCTCTTCCCTCTACCCCTGCAGCCCACAGTCTCAGATCCTTCCTACCTTTTATTTTGATTTTATGCAGGTTATCCAAGGATACATGCTGTCTGAAGACTTACTTTCAACTACAGATTCCTTTAAAGAGGTGCAGATTAGATAAAACTGTGCCTTACAGGTATGAAAGCATAGTCAGACATATTTATCACACTGTAATTACTACTAGCTGAACCACTATTTAAATTAATTAGCTCTGCTCATAAGAGCATATCCAAGTAAAAAGACTTCTTGGAGTAATACAAGGCTGCAAAATGGTTTGGTTTTTTTCCTAGTACTCGTGACCATTAAAACAATATAACCCCAGCAGAACTGACTGAAGCCCAGTATGACTACAAACAAGGCAGACATTCTGTGCTCCAACACAAAAAAAACTCAGAACTTCACAGGTTTCCAGAAGAAATAAGACACAGAATGAAAACCAGGCTCATCTCATCTACCAATAGAAGGTAGTACAAATTGTTTCAAGTTTCCTTCTCTAATTCAAGACAGGTACTGAAGCCAGCATCTTCCCTGTCCCAGAAAGAAATACCAATCATCTAGTTGTTTTGTCTATCCTCAATAGGTATGTGACACATTAACTTGTTTCCCTGCCTTCCTCAGTTTTGTCCACCTGACTCACAGTCTTTCATTGCTGCCCCCGCCCCAAAAAAAAAAAAAAAAAAAAAAAAAATCCCTGTTCCATTCAGAAATTCCTCTTAATAAGCACTTATTCTTTGTCAAAAAACCTCAATCAAAATGCTCCCAACCAGCTAGAGAACTCCAATGAAGAAAGAAGTCACCTGGTGACATTTTAAGAGAAAAGTATCTCCAAGTTACATTAACAACCTGCCACTTGTTTTAGCTTAAAACAAAAGTCAAAGAACTTGAACTTTTAAAGCCCATGAATAAATGGAGGGGAAAAAAACAAACAAAAAAAAACCCAACCCTAACTCATGAAACAACTGAGTAACTTTTACCCGTAATATCAATTTGAAGACAGAATCCAAGAACCTATAGACTGTTTTCCATTTTTCCTCAATGGATACAGTCTGTTCTTTCCACATTATAATAATCTTCTCCCCAAAGGGAAGACTGAAATAGTTGCACCTCACCATCTGTTAGGTTTTGTGTTGGTTTTGTTGGTTTGAGTTTCCTTTTTTTAAGAGCAAAATTTGGTTTAATTTGAAATAGCGCACTTTGCAAATTTTCTGATTTAACACTCAATGCATATTCATAATCTAGGATCATTTCTTAGTAAATTATTCCTGAGCTGCTCCTTTACAGAACTGGCAGAGGCAAGACTGTGAAGCTGAGCAATTTTGCTACTGTCCTTTGTCATCCTTCCTTCTCCTTCAGCATCAGTATCTTTCAGGTTTTTTCCTTCTCTTTTGAGAAAAAACACTGATGTGATTCCCTCCCTGAGGTCATACTATACCAAACAGTAGTGAACAAACTCACTTTCTCTGCATTACTTCTGCATTCTTTACAAGGGCGTAGATACGTACCTCCTAAACTGTCAAGATCTTCAAGTATCCTTCCAAACCTGCAAGATACAGGTTTTGACAATTAAATACCTACATACATAGTAAATAAAAATTAACACTATGCTGGTTCCCTTGTTACCTTACACTGTTGTGTACATTCAGGTACTTTTCTCTTATTTCAGGTTGACTTCCTAGAGGTAGAATAACTTCCAAGTAGCTATCCTTCATCCTCCTAGGAGGGAGATCCTCCTGCTGTTTTGCCAGTAAAGTATGAAGAGCTTTTCTTTCTTGCATTGCTTGCACATGATCCCTTGTAAGGGAAAAAAAAAAAAAAAAAAAATGGAGCATGACAACAGAACTGCAACCACAGCTAAAAGATGTCACATTGAAGATTATCAAAATGAAAACAAAACAGTAGTAAAAATAGCAAGACACAGTGAGTGTGCCGTGAAAAGAATGTGAAATACTCCTAATGAGATAGGCTAAGCAGGACTACTGCAGAAAACTTTTAAGTATTTTTGTGCACAAGTGGCAAGCACATACTTTGTGCTAAAGAGATGAACAAAAATTTTCTAATTCCGAATGCTACCAAAATGGTTCCCCTTGAAAAGAACAAATCAGGCATAAACCTATGAGGTTTTGTGTACATTCATGTCTTCCATAGCTACCATATCACAACTCTTCCTACAGCCACAATTTTTGAAGGACTGCCAATTTATAATCTTTCCCAAAAAGTAAAGCATGTATAGTGTTGGTTAGCACTAACAACAAAAGGAACTAATCTGATAAGACTTGCTATCATCCACAGGTGAGCTCTCCCTTTACAGCATCAGTTCATACAGCATACACTTGATCGGCAAGCTAAAGGAAAGGGGAAATTAATCTATTTCCCCTCTCTATTCCTACCCATAGTCACCTTACAACCACATAGGAAGGTTATAGAAATAAATAATAAAGGAAAAGGAGCACTATCCCTTCAGAGCTGCTTTTCCAGCACCAAGTCAGAGGGGTTGTAACTCCCACAAGGGAGTAAAGGACAACTTGCTGTCACTTCTTTACAATCTACCCAGTTGGTTCCTTGCACAGGCATCTTACAATTACCCTGCCCAACATTTTCTCTTACCTGTTCCTCCAAATGTTTCTCCCTTTAAAAGTGCAACCTGACTAAAAAAAAGCAAGTATTTCGTACAATTCCTAGAATCAACAACAAAGCATTAAGTGTCTTAAGGGTTAAACATGCAACAGTTCCAGTATAAAGCCAAAAGGTATGGAAAACTATGAATTCATTTCACAGAGCAAGAGAAGGCATAAAACACTATGTAACCAAACTTGATTTTAAACTTGTGGAAATGTGCTATTCATTCAGTTGTGCATGCTGCATTGCTGAGACCTGAGTGCCATTGTGTTTTACAAAACCAATTTAAAAAATAGAAAAATAAAGAAAACAACAAAAAGAACCTTTTCACCAAAAATTAAATATGTCTTCAACTTTGACTTTGGATAAATTCTGGGCATTAGCCACTTAAGATTAAGACTTTTCTGCTTTGAGCCTTATTTTTGGAAGAGAAGTATAAAGCCGTCATCCTGCAACATATTTATATTCCCTCTTTCCTGTTTAAGAATTTGGGAGGAAATACGAATAATCCATGATCAAAGAGGGTAAAAGTCCAGCAGAAATTTGTTTGTTTTAAACATGAAACATGGTTTACCACATCTAAACAACAAAAGTACTACAGAGTTCAGAGAAAATAGAAAGATAACAACCTCCTCCAGGGGGTTAATGTTTGAAGGTGTGCCACTGCATAGAAACAGAATATACTAGATGACTAAGAAAAGATGCAATGTCCAAGATGATGCACCTTTATGCTTTTTAAAATATTTGTTTCCAAGGTCTTTCAGTGAAAGGTTTCAGAGAAATTATATCAGAAAGTAAATCTTAATCAGACAGTAAACCAGAAATTTGTCTACAAGCATATAGAGACCAAACAATAAAAATTTAACTATGTTTTGTTTTCACCAGTCCCATCCTGGCTCCTCTGAGGTCAGCACCAGAACTCTTCTTGACTTCAGCTTCAGAATGTGCTCTTCAATATACAGAAGTATTGGTCTCAAGGCAATAACATTTTTCAACAGATAAATACTGTTACACACTGCAGCACCAGTCATATAGTAACAATAGTTCATCTAAATATTAACTAATGCCTGCCCTAAACATTCTGAGAAATTATGCTATTTATTTCTGAAATGGACACAACTGTATCTAGACTGTAATTAGCAATGAGCAGATTAATAATTTTAATTACAATTTAAGTTCAAAACCAGAATAAATACATACCCAAAATATTTCTTTCTGATACAAAATGTTACCAGCCGTTACAAGAGAAATCATAAACCAAAGTTTCCTTTTAGCAAAAATAACAGCCAAAAGCATTCCTCCAACATGTATCTCTCCTCTCTCCCAGTAGACCAGTTGCATGCACATCAGTCCTTCCCTGCCTCACATTTAGGGACCCCTACCTATCAAGCTGTTCTTAGTTTGTCCTCTTTAATCATTCTTCGGCCTGACTTAACTAAAGCAGTGGCTGTTCAGTCTCCACACATATCAACTCTTTGTCACTTCATTTTAAAAGTATGATCTCAAAGGCAACATGATCCATGTCCTTCAGACCTCCCATATTAACCCTGTCATTCCCAAGCACTCCCAGCCATGGGCTCCCCAGCTTTACTTCTTCATAGTAGTTACATACAGTACTCCACAAACCATTTCTGCTGTAATTTATACACCACAAGAGACAGACCTATCTAAGAAAAGCACTGCTGTAGTGATCCTGGCTTCAATCTACTCTCCTCCCAGGGCTGGAGCCGTAGGGAAAAAGAAATGGATAGAAGATCAGATTTTTCCAGAGCCTCTAAAGTCTTGATCCTCAGGTGGTATTTCCATATAGCAGGGCTCCTTCCCACCCATTGTGGGCTGCAGGAATGGTTCTTTTAAGTGCCCTTTTCAGCTGACTTAATGAAAATTTCAAGCCCTATTATGCTTAGGTAGCAGTCTTAGTAAGCAAAAACCAGCTTTTCAGATTCAAACCTTTTCTTTAGTGTGACTATAATCCTGTCTAGATAAACCTAGTCAGAAGGCCTAGACACATCAAACACTCCACTCAGGAAAGCATCTCTTCATTTCCCTATCAGTGTACAAAGTGTGAAAGAAGAACTCAGCAAACGCAGCCATAAGAAAATTAACAATAAATACAAAGAATACGGCAACAACCAAACTACAATACATAATTCCCTTAGGCTATACTGATTTTAAGAACTGATAACAGTGGAGGATTACAGTCAACTCTGGCTTATTCAACATGATGGAGGGGAAGGAAAGTAACCTGAATAAAGCCAAATCATCAATTATTTAAATTATATGTAAATTAATATTAAAGTACAGCAGAGAAAAGAAATGCCCAAGATGCTCCTGACTAAGGAGACCCCAATCCCAAGCTGACAATTTTCCAAAGTGACATAAGTGCTGCCAGTCCATTAACGATGCAGCCTGCTTCACACTGAGCCAGCTCAGCTGCCTCTGAATCCAGTGCAGTATAAATCCACCACCATGTTGGTAAGACACCAACAAATAACTCAAGAGCAACCAACAGCAGTGTAACATTTCCAGCCAGACTCCAGAGCTCTTACACCTTCATTGGATTCAAAGCTGATGGGAGAATCTTTTAAGCATCAAGGTCACTTATTTTGTTCCTTTGGTGGTACAGACCTTGTGATCCTCAAAGCGACAATTCAGAAACCTTGCTTGCATTACTTTTTAGCTGCATCTCCTTTCTTCCCCAGTCAGCAAGCTAACATGTTAACTTCCACTACCACAGCCCTGAGCTCTACCTGGGTTTCACAAATAAAGTAAAATACATTTAATGCACACTGTACCTCCAGTTGGTAGATGCTCCCACTATTTCCCTCAATCTGCTTCGCACTGAAAAAAAAAAAAATAAATCAAAAGCAAATCAAGCTTAGCTCTGCAAGTGATGAACATGAGGTTGAGGCTGCCTGGTGCTAAGAGGCACCATCCTCATCCCAGAACAGGAAAATTAAGTAAATTCATGCAAATAGCATTCCAGAAACAAAAGTCTGGCCAAATTCTCTGCTGCTGTTAGTAGGCATGTCACAATAATGGATTGAGTAACATGATTCTGTAGCTTATTTTGTTTAGCCAACAAAGAGTATTTGCTAATGCAATCAAACACCTGCAGTGCTAATTAGCAGTTGAAAGACACAGCAGATCAGGATCAGGTTAAGGAATTTTGATGTGAAAATATTTCAGCCTAAACACAAACAAAACTGGAGATAACACAAATCAGAAAGCCATAAAAGAACATAAACAGGAACAGTGCAGCTGGGAGACTTCGACTGAGGAGAGTATTTTTTAAATAATCCCACTCATGAAGGCAGGTAATGGCATCAGACTGGCTCTTGCCAGCAGGGTTTCACAGACTAAATCTTTATCAGTCTCAAAGAACACGTTGTTAAGACACTGAAGACAGGTCTATAAAATTAATTCCGGCAGTATTTGCACTTAGAGTTGATGCCAGTTCTGCACAAGTATTTCATAAACTTCAAGAATAATCTGCATATGCAGTTTCTCTACTCTTTCCTTGGATGAGGTTATTAAGTGTGCTAACATCCCATCAACTCTATCTAACTGCTTCATCACGATTAGGCAGGTAAATGTACGCTATTTGGAAACACCTGAAAACAAGCAGCAATAATTCCCAAGCTCAGAACAGAAGCTGAGAATGTATAGTTGGGAATCCTTGCTTATTTACAAAGACTTTTATACAAAGGGGTTAAAATATTGGGACAAAATAGGGACACATCTAGAAGGGCTACCAAAAAAAAAAAAAAAACCAACAAATTTCAATGAAACAGAAAGAGGGCTGCTGCATTACAAGCTAGTCCTTTATACTTGCAGGTTATTAGGTACCACCAGGTTTGGCACTTTTCAAGCTAAATGCCTAGTCAGTGTATTCGCAGTGATCAGCAAGCTATCCTGTGAACCCTGGAACAAGCAGAGTTTGATTTCATCAGTATTTAAATCACATACCCCTCTCAGCCAGACCAGCTCTGCCGTGTCCCCACTCCTCCACACAGTCACTTTTCTGCTGCTTTCCAATCCCAAATCCCCCACACCACCACCACTGCAACACCCCTTACCTCCCTTTTGCCGCTTCCCCTGCAACACCTTCAGCTCCCGTTCCTGCACTCCCAGCCTAATTCTATTTTGCCTGCCCCCTAGACAAGCACTAGCATGAGCTATGGTTAGCCCAGAGATATGCAAGGGGCTGAATACCAGCCAGTCAGCAGAGAGATCCCAGTAGCTCACCAGCTGCCAGCAAACACCACAGTCCATGGCTGACCCAAACACTAGCTCTGGCACCCTAATGAACCTCTGATTCAAAGACAGTTTTCACAAAGATTGTGGAAACACATTTCTCTTCAAGATTTGTTTCTCATCTATTTTGGCTGACATCAAGAAACAACAGGTTCTGGAACAAGAGGGTGACAAGGAGATAGACAAAGACAAAACAGATTGCTTAGACCTCATTTCTTTAGGAAATTTGGCTAAAAAAAGTATTTTGAAATTAGAAGAGTTCCACTACAATTCTAAGGAAAACAAAAATTATGAAAGAAACTGATTTCAAATCTTAAGAGTTAATTTTATTTTATTTTTTTTAAGGGGGCAAGGTCAGATTCTTTTTTCTTAAGAAACAGACGGCTTGTTAACAGAGTAGGTACTACTTTTCTGTTACTCACACTCCACTTGTGAAGCTGCCATAGCATGCATTGGATCTACATAGTGTTAGTAGAAACACTTTTACAGCTTCTAGAACACAAAAATTCAATTTTCCGATAGTGCACAGACTGTGCTGGGATGGAGGGGGAATAAACAGCACCTTCTCTTTGTTTAAACCAAGTTCATCTTCCTTTTCAACTCTAAACAGTAGAAAACTCTGAAAAAAAACTCTGGTCCAAACCTGTAAACATGTATATACATTGTTAGTCCAATTTAATACTTCTGATTTCAATTTTAGGCATACAAGTGAACATTTGCCAGGCTGAGACCACATACTGTTTATTTAAACAATAAAAGGGATAAAGCATAAAAATGTTCCTAAAATGTTGTGAAGCTAAATTTAGTCCATTTTACAGGTTCATAAGTACATAGTTTCTCTCTTCCCTTCCCCTGGGGAAGACTACATTGCTCTTGCAACAGAAATTCAAGTAAGTTATTAAGCACAGACGTCCATAAACTCTTTCCCTTTTCTTATTTGGCAAATGTCTTAAAAGTGCAAAACAATTGCACCAAATGGGGCTTCTCTATTGTTGTGCATTTCACAGTATCTCCTAAACTACGATCAGTGGATCATTAATGCCAGAGCAGGAGGGCCTGAGTATATTTGCACTATGATGTGAAGAAGGACACAAGGGCAGCTGGACAAGATCACTGCATTCATCTCTGCCAGTGAGATTCATGTCCTCTTCTGCTGGTGTTACCCCAGGCTGTATTCAGGTTCAGGTAGACCACTGTCATGTATTTTACCACCACTATAGAGGTTGGTCCTAACTTACTGAAAGATGCAGATTCAAATGTCTAACCTGAAGCTAAGTACTTCAGGAGTTGCTGTATAAGAGATTTTGTATCCCACAAGCCTCTAAGAAACACGTTATCCAGCACACCACCAGAAACACAATGTGCTGAGAGAGATCTAGGACAACACTGACACAGAGCCATTCACTGAAGGCGAAGAGGCTTTAAGCAAGTCAATAGACAAGAGTAATAGCATTTCATTTTTCATTAATGCTCAAGTAATGAAAAACAGTAGCTGTTTAGTTTAGTGTTATAGCGAATATTTTAATATGTACAGATTACCACAACACACCATTATTCACATGAAGGGGTAAGTGTCCTGTGGAGTGGAAAACACAGGTTAGATTATCAATTAAAAGAAACAACGCAAACTACATCTAGTAAGGAGTTACCTGATCATTCTACCTGCTTGAGTTCCATTTAAGCATGTGTCCTGCAATTTCAGTAAGCAACTGTAGGCAACCTGTCTTTGCCTGATTTACACTCAGTATCTTCATGTTTTCAACTGAGTTCATCCTTTCCTTCAAAGCCAGTTTTGTGGTTACTTTGTTTACTGGCTCTGTGTAGTATCTGCTTGCAGTGTAATTCCAATCAGTTTTTCAAACTCAGTGTTACCATGTGCTATTGACAAACACTATTAACTTTGGAAAGAGTATCTGGAAGATTTTTCAAAACATGGGATGAGTTGTCTTTAAGAAAACTTCCAAAGTCCTGCTTCATGTAGCCTTTGGGAGAATCATGGAAGAAGTGGGGATATTCACAACTGAGACCCAAAGTTGTGAGGAAGCATATGAAAAGCTAGTAAATATTTGGTGTTTTGTGAAAACAAACTAGTTTACATATCAGTGAAAGTTTGTATAACATTATTTGTTATAATTTTAGAAGAGAATCTCAAATATTTACAGTTATACAGTCCACAAAATATTAGTATTCCTTGAAAACCAGAGGAAGGCCAGCATGGCTTCACAGCTTCACTGTTTCCACTCACCTTCTAGGTGGCATCATTACCACTTAGAGAGCAGGGTAATATTTGCAAGAATGCAATATTCTGTATCCATGCTTCTTTCCTTTCATTTTCCAAATTAGCATTTATTAACTAGCATGAAAAGAAATTCACTAACAATGAATAACCCTCATTTTCTCTTGTACTGGATAACCTGCGATTTCTATTTAGGCAACAAAATGGGCAAGAAGATCTCAGAGACAAGCAGAAATTCAAGTCATAGAATCATAGAATAGTTAGGGTTGGAAAGGACCTTAAGATCATCTAGTTCCAACCCCCCTGCCATGGGCAGGGACGCCTCACACTAAACCGTGTCACCCAAATCTCTGTTCAACCTGACCTTGAACACTGCCAGGGATGGAGCATTCTCAACTTCCTTGGGCAACGCATTCCAGTGCCTCACCACCCTCACAGTAAAGAACTTCTTCCTTATATAGAATCATAGAATCATTAGGGTTGAAAAGGACCTTAAGATCATCTAGTTCCAACCCCCCTGCCATGGGCAGGGACACCTTATGCTAAATCATATCACCCAAGGCCTCATCCAACCTGGTCTTGAACACTGCCAGGGATGGAGCATTCACAACCTCCCTGGGCAACCTATTCCAGTGCGTCACCACCCTAACAAGAGAGAATTTCCTTCTTATATCCAACCTAAACTTCCCCTGTTTAAGTTTTAACCCATTACCCCTTGTCCATGAAGGAATTATTTGCACCTGGCAACAGCCCTTTTCCTCCTCCCCTTTTCTCAGTACCTGGGATTAGAATGCAAGAAAACTTTTTTTAAAACTTCTGCAACAGGCACATTACGGCTTATTACTACAATTAGAGTGCCAAAACAATCCTTCAACACAGAGCTCCATTGACAAGAGCATTTTCACAAGGCAATGCTGCTGATCTGATTAAAAGATTTCTCTAAGTTTACAAAATTAGTGATATTAACACACTAAAAGTTCTGTAAAACATTATTCCCACTTTGTTCCTTCATCTGTTGGTCATTTTATATTCCTGGGTTCTAGCTATGAAAAAAAAAAAGGGTAGCAAAAAAGTGATACTATAAATTCAAAAAAGATCAAGGACAGGTTTAAAAGGCCATTAACTTTTTTTTCTGCTCCCCAGACTTTGCTAATTCAGGACTCATGACCCATGTTGCACTTAAACCCTTTGATTATGGCTTCATTTATGGTAATGAATGTCAGTTAGAAAATAGCAATATTCTTTACTCTGACATTTCATTTTATTCCTTCCGCGATAAGATTGGATGAGGATTTGAGCAACCTGGTCTAGTAGACGGTGTCCCTACCCATGGCAGGGAGGTTGGAACTGGATGATCTTTAAGGTCCCTTCCAACCCAAACCATTCTATGGTTCTACGATTCTCTCCAGTGGTCACAGTACCTTTCTGTACTACGTTTCCTTTCTGTGCAGAGCCAACTTGAGAAGCAGTTGTCCCTCCAGAAGAAGAATCACATGTTCTGCCAATACTAAAGAACCAGATGAGCCTCCATGTCTGTAACTTTAATGAGTGTGCATATTTGTTGCCATTAACCTCCAAACACACACAGAAATACTGCCACGTCTTCCAAAGTACAGTCAATTACCTTACCTTCATTCATGTCAGGAAGCTCTGGGGAGCCAGTGGTCCCAGAAGTGAGTGTCCGAGCCAGAAGAGAAGGAAGCTTCCTCATCATCCACAACCTACAGGCAGAACAGAAGAATTTACTGTCATTAAAACTAATGCCATGGAAGTAGTTTAGGATTTATTTTTGGAACAGTGCTGATTACTTTAGAAACCACACTCTTAATTTTTAATCCTGATTTTTAGAACCATACACAATCAGTACAACAGTTCCAAGCCAGCTGAAATTTCAACTGATACCTGTCCTCATCTGAAAATAGGAAGGAAGAATGATTCACTGGCAGTAACTGGTCTTTTCACTGACTCAGATGTCCTGGGACAAACAGCATCTTCTATCCTGTAGGCAGGTCCATGTGCATCTGGGAAATCATCCATGACCCTAACCATAAACCTGTCCTGCACTTGGCAGGTGTCCATAACAGTGGAAGGTGGAAAAGCCGAAGAAGGATATCACAAGGCCTACCACACAGTCACATTCAGCTAAGCCTGGTCTTCTCCTCCCTGGCTTACTACTGCTGCAACTCAGAACAAGCCTAATGTGCAGGATACAATCCTCTTAGCTGTTCAGCAAGAAGGGACAACCATGAGAACCCTTCAGAGAATGTAATCCACCCAACAATTCACTAAGAGTTCAATCAGGTAGCAACCAGTGCAGCTCCTCCAGGCAAACAAAATTGTGATAGCACAAAAATACACAGAGGGTCACCAGGAATAAAACTCCTCATGATAATTTATAGTGTTATCCTGACAAGAAATAGGAACTCTGCCCTTAATTTTATTCAGCTGAGGCTGGGGTTTCAGGTCAAAAAAGAGGCAAGTTCCCGGGCTCCAGAATCATAGGATGGTTTGGGTTGGAAGGGACCTTAAAGCTTACTCTGTTCAAACACCTGCCATGGGCAGGGATGCCTTCCACTAGACCAGGCTACTCAAAGCCCAATCCAACCTGTTTACGTATCTACACACATATATACGTAAGTTTCCCCCTGTCTGCAGGTACACCAGGAGTACATAAGAGAGTAAAAAGGAACACACACACACACACACACACAAAAATAACCCAACTCAGAAGCCAGCAGTCTCATCACACCAGAGAATGGCAATGGTGAAAACTGTGTAAGTGATGCAGCCTCTGGACCCGTGGCACAGTCAGGGAATGACTCCTACCTCAACCCCGCCCGCACCCCCCCGGGACCCTATCACGCCCGATGCCATTTCAGGTGCCCTGAGCGAGGCTCTCCCCATACCGACAGGCCAAGACGGCCAAGGCCAGACGCCATCACCCTAAACTCCAGGCAGCCACACCCGGCAGCGCCCTGCCAGCCATGGCTCTCACTCCACACACACACCCCGCCCCGCCAGCCATGCACCGGATCCACTCCTGGGTGCAGGCAGCCTAGCCGCGGGACCCGGCTCGGTCCACAGCGCCCCCCGGTAAGGCAGCAACGGCGGCCCAGGGCTCTGCCTCACCTCCCCGGGGCCCGCCGAAGGGAACCGCCACCATCTCCCCCAGCCCCGCCGCGGCGGCGGGAGCTAAGCGGCGCGGGGGCAGCCTTACCGGGTAGCCAGCATGGTGCTCGCCCAGCCGCCACCGGAACCGAGACCGTCACCAGGACCGAGACCGTCACCCGGACCGAGACCGTCACCGGGACCACGCCTGTCCGAGGCACGCGGTTCTCCCAAGACAGCAAATGCTCGGCGCGGCCCTTCCGCCGCGTTGTGCAGGTCGGTCCCAGCGCAGGGCCGCTCAGAGCCAGCTCCCCTCTAGTCCCTCCGGTCCCCAGGCAGCTCCGCTCAAGCCCGGCCTCCTGCCAGCGGCCGCGCCTTTACTCAGGGGCGGGCCGCCGGGGCCGCCGGCTCCGTGTGCCCTGCCCAGCGCGGAGCGGCCGCTCTGAGGGGCGGAGGTTGGTGCCACCGGCAGCCGTCGGACACCGGGCGAGCGCTGCCCATGGGGAGCTGCGTGGGTTTCGCGTTTAATAAGTACCGTGATGAGTGCGTTATTTTTTTAATGCTCCTGTTTTCCACTGTGTCTCTCAGAGGCATTCCATAGGGCCCAGGCGCTTCCCGAGCCGGCGGGCCTGCGGTTGCTGGATGTCTACACAGCCGGGGAACGGCCTCCGGCCCCGGCCGGTCACTTGGTGGCACTGTTAGGGAAGGCAATTGAGTATTTGGTAGGGGGAAGAGGTTGAAGAAAACACTGCAGGTAAATAAATAAGCTGCGGGTGAATAGTAAACAAATACAATTAAACAGAATTGCTTCTATTTATATAATGGGAATTGAACAGCCTTAGAGCAGAGAGGACAATCAGCCTGTGCCAAGGTCTGTGGGCTGCAGAGCAGCTCCTTGCTCTGCACAGAGACTCCATAGAGCCAGTGAAAATCTAAATTTCAGAGACCGAAGAGCCAGTCGGGATCTAACTTCTGGAGATCTAGCTGCTACCCATGTCAGCACCTCTGATGGACTAGTATACAAGTGGCCAGGAGCAGCTTTCACACAGACCAGAATATACGGTCTCACTGGTCATTTCAACATGTGAGCAAAATGGTGCTTACAAAATGTACCAGTTAGCAATGAAGTTGTTAAACAGACTTTGCTAAAGACTTATTCGAGACACCACTAAAACTCTATGAGGCTATGAGAAATGAATGTTCTCGCAAACAGTGAAAGTACATTAACCAGATTATTGTTCAGCCTGGAGAAGGCTCTGGGAAGACCTTCTGTCTGGGGAGGTCTTCCAGTACCTAAAGGGGCCTACAAGAAATCTGGAGAGGGACTTTTTACAAGGGCATGTAGTAACAGGACAAGAGGCTATAGCTTTAAACTGAAAGAGGGGAGAGTCAGATATTAGGAAGATTTTCTTTACTGTGAGGCACTAGAACAAATTGCCCAGAGAATCTGTGGCTGCCCCATCCCTGGCAGTGTTCAAGGCAAGGGGTTTGGAATTAGATGGTCTTTAAGGCTCCAACACAAACCACTCTAGGATTACCTCACTTGCAAGAGTAACACTGATAAGGGTTTTTTTCTCTACCACCTTTTTGATAAATTGCTTCCAAACAACCTAAACTCAAGCTATGTGAATTGAAAAATAGGATTTGTGTCTTTTTGTGAGACTTATGGTAGATTGCAGACTTATGTATGCAGACTTAAAGACGGAGAGACTGAAGTTGCATTGACACACAGATAGACTCCACAACTCCTTAAGAGTTGTAAAGTAGGTATGCATTTATTCAGCGCTGAGGTGCATGGGGATTGCTCATCCAAAAGCATGCGTGCCTTTCCTTTGCCATTCAGTTCATTTATATTACATATAATGATTACCTAAACATGAGATTGCTTCACACCTAATACAGATGCAAAACTTATTCCTGTCTAGTATTATAATTAGTTTTCTGGCATTCATTCTGTTGGTGCGCCTGGTGGTGGTCGTTAGGGGGTCGTGAGGATGAAGGCCTGCAGTTCCTCTTCCTCACCGTGAGTAACCTCTTGCTTTCACGCAGATTCAGTAGGGTTTTGGCTCCTATCCAAACCTCAGGTTCTGTACAAGCTGGTTTTATGTATCTTAAAGCAGAAACTTGTCAAGTTTGCAAATTTTGTTACTCTGGCTATCTTTTGTTCCTTTTCTTTCTAAAGATACTATTTAAACAAGAATGTCTTAAATGTTAAGTTATGAATCTTATCTACTACAATTCTGCCTAGCAGGTGTAACTCTTACAATTCTGCTTCACCATTCTAGCAACTTTGACTCCTATGGTTCTGCTTCACCAAGCACAGAGACTGCTTAAGCAAGCAGGCACAAAGTTAACCCTTTATTTTCTGGTATCAGTGTGCCTTGCACACTGAGCAAAACCCACCTGGAACTGACCCCTGCTACTAGCACAGTTTTTCTGTCATGGATGTGGTGTGTGTGCCTCCCTCCTGTTTTGTGACTGCATTAACGAGGCACAAGACAGAGGCCTGGTGAGTGACCCTCCTTCATGGGGGAGGAGGCAGAGCTGCAGGACTACTTCCCAGGAGAAAGGCTCCTCTCACTGGGCCCACACCCCCAAACATCTTACAAGTGCAATCAACCTCTACCTGTTTACAGAGTAAGAAGTTGAAAGAGCTATTGCAAAGCAGCTCATTCATCTGGTCATCAGTAAAAAAACATGGAAACCTGGGATGGGTGTGCGCTGAAGGTTCAGAAACCAAGATGCCACTAGGAGAATCACCTACAGACAGTGCAAAAGACTGTGCCAAACGACACAGTTGTGGTTGTGACATGTAAGAAAAACATCTGCTTATCATGTGAACCACCATTAGTTTTAAGAAAGTAAAACAGATTCCCTAGGTTTCTTTTTAAAGCCTGAGATACTGCACCCAAGAACAGTGACTTAGGTATTTTGCAGGATCAGAGCCAAAGGGACTTCTACTGTATCCGAAACGTAAGTTTATAAAATCTAGGCCTGGCTTGTTTGGGTTTTTTCCCCCCAACATTTATTTCTACAGATTTATACCCCAAATTCTTTGCAAGCATGTTATAGATGATTGGTGGATGCAGGCACATAATTGGTCATGTCTAAATCCAAAATTCATCAAATTGCATAATTACAAATGGCAGGCGAGATGTATTACCTTGCAGGAATAGGGTTCTAATGATCTAAAATATGTCTTCAAAGATAATAATGGAAAATTATGACCCTTTTATTTCCAGCATATTCATGTAGTTTTATTATGTGAAACTGTTGATTTTGAATTTGCCCCCAAATTCTGAGCAGTGCTACTGCAGTATTTGTTCACTATTCTTACTTTTCTTACAGAAATTAATGTTTTTTTTCCATGTACAGTCTAGTGTTGATAACCTGTAATTGTAAGATGCTTGGAAAAAAGTACCTGGAAGCAATTGTGAGCTCAGAAATATCAATGCAGGTTCTAAGTATTCGGAAGAAATTATTCAGTTGAAAATCCTCAGAGAATCTGAATGAAAGACTAATCTGGAATAATTACAGGTCAATACTGAATATTAATTCAATTTTCCATATTTTGCTCCAGAGATTTCATGGGAGATATAATTTAGAGGTACAGTTTGGATTGAAATATTTGAGAACATTTAGTCGTAATATCAAAAATTCTTAAGTCACTGCATTTAATATGAAATAAGCAGTTCTCCTCCCTCCATTTTCATTTATTACAGAGAACCTTTGAGGCATGAGAGAGGCATTCATACAGATTTTCCTAGAGAAGAAGGAAATAAAAAATTAGAATACAAAAAGTAAAGAGAGTTTTATTAGTTGAACAGTAAAGAAAGAAAACTGTTGCCCACTTTGAGGTTTCTGTCCAACCTGCAAGAAAACAGGATATTCAGAAATTCAGATGCCAGTAAACGTGTTGTCAGTACAAGTCCAGCTGAGGTCCCATAACTCTGAATAAATTGTTGAGTTGCATTGCCACGAAAGGCTCTTGGGGAGCTAGCACAGCTATTTCCTGTAGCTTTAGGCTGGACAAGACCTCTCTCTCTGGAGAGGATGTGGAGAGAACTTGCCTCAATCAGATATGTAGTGCTGTGTGCTTTCATTAACACCAGTTCTTGTTGCATGCTATAAAGAAAGTGCTGCTTTCTATTTCAAATGATTTTTTCTGTTTCTCCACTCTACAAGATTTAGGGGGGAGATAAAACAAGTATAAGAGGAACAATGTTTTTTGTAGGTATTTCTAACCATTTTACAGGTTCTTCTTAGGTATTTCTAACCATTCTACCCCTCAAACACCAAAGTGCCAACCCACCTGGTGGAAATGTAGATGGATTCACAGTCAGCAGGTTCTGCGTGGAAGAATATCCCTTTGTCAACCACTTTCCACCATACATATTTGTGTAATTTGAAAAAAACTCAAACCTTTTCAGGAGGCTTACCACTACTCATTCCCTTGGAGGCAAGTGTGAAGAAATAAACAGGCTGACAATTCAGGGGTAAAATCTGAGCCACGTGCAAGTGATTAGAGATTTCATCACTGACCTCAGTTATGTCAAGATTACATGAAACCTGCTCAGAGACAAACAGACCTGAAACAAAAGGAGGAAGCTGTAAAGAACAAGGTCTGGCAGCACGATTCATTCACAAAACCGAGATCTTTTAGAATCCCTTTGTACAATACTCTTACCATTCTTGTTCTGAAAATATATCTCTAGTAATATATAACTAATTGCAGATTTAGTTATCTTAGGTATTTTTTTTTTTTAATTCTCTGGATTCCATTTTGTTTCAATAAAATATTTTTGATACTTTAGGAAAATTTTCAGTATATTTTTATTCTGCCTCATGAATTTGAAAGCTAGCTCCAATGAACTGTATTGACTGGGTAACAACATCAGCATGTTTCCGAGCAAGTTAAAGCAGGACTTTGGAAAACAGTCAAGGTAGAAAACATTGTGGGTTTTTTTTTGCTGAAACTTTAACAACTGAAATCATTAAGACTTGTGACTTGAGAATGAAAGAAAACCAGGCACTTTCTGCTCTTACACAACAGCAGGTTTCCTGACAGCATGACTTCCTCATTGTGAAATGCCAAACAAAGACTTGACACAACACACGACTGTTAAATCTTTCACGTAGACAGTATCTCTCATTTCTGATCCCAGGCAGAGCATTTATA